GCAAAAGATACAACTTGCAAATCACAGCTGATTACGCATAAGAGGACCCATACAGGAGAGAAGCCATAAAATTTCTCCAAATGTGGTAAATACTCTACTGAGCATGGCAATGTGGTGAGACATCAGAGGACTGACATCACGTATGAGTGCCTGGATAATGTGAAAGTTTCATTTAAAATTCCCACATGATGAGACAACAGAGGACTTACACAGGAGATAAACCCTATGAATGTCCTGATTGTGGTAAAGGCTTCAATTACAATTACCACCTAGTAATACACCAGAGGACTCACACAGGAGAGAAACCCTTTCAATGTCTTTATTGTGGTAAAGGTTTCAGTGACAATTCCAGCATGGTAACACATCAGAGGACTCACACAGGAGATAAACCCTTTGAATGTCCTGATTGTGGTAAAGGCTTCAAATACAATTATCACCTAGTAATACACAAGAGGACTCACACAGGAGAGAAACCCTTTGAATGTCCTGATTGTGGTAAAGGTTTCAGTCAGAATTCCAGCCTGGTAACACACCAGAGGATTCACACAGGAGAGAAACCCTTTGAATGTCCTGATTGTGGTAAACGTTTCAGTAAAAATTCCATCCTTGTGAAACACCAGAGGACTCACACAGGAGAGAAACCCTTTGAATGTCCTGATTGTGGTAAAGGTTTCAGTGACAATTCCAGCCTGGTAACACATCAGAGGACTCACACAGGAGAGAAACCCTTTGAATGTCCTTATTGTGGTAAAGGTTTCAGGAATAAATCCAACCTGGTAACACACCAGAGGACTCACACAGGCGAGAAACCCTTTGAATGTCCTTATTGTGGTAAAGGTTTCAGTAATAATTCCGTCCTGGTAACACACCAGAGGACTCACACAGGCGAGAAACCCTTTGAATGTCTTGATTGTGGTAAAGGTTTCAGTGCCCGTTCCAGCCTGACGAGACACCAGAGGATTCACACAGGAGAGAAACCCTTTGAATGTCCTTATTGTGGTAAAGGTTTCAGTAATAATTCCAACCTGGTAACACACCAGAGGACTCACACAGGCGAGAAACCCTTTGAATGTCTTGATTGTGGTAAAGGTTTCAGTAACAATTCCAACCTGTTAACACACCAGAAGATTCACACAGGACAGAAACCCTTTGAATGTCCTTATTGTGGTAAAGGTTTGAGTTCCTATTCTAGCCTGGTGGGACACCAGAGGACTCACACAGGAGAGAAACCCTTTGAATGTCCTGTTTGTGAAAAATATTTCAGTAATAATTCCAGCCTTGTGAAACACCAGAGGACTCACACAGGGGAGAAACCCTTTGATTGTCCTGATTGTTAAAAATGTCTCAATACCAATTCCAGTCTGGTGAGACACCAGACAACTCACACTGGAGAAAAACCCTTTGAATTTCCTGACTGGGAAAAGTTTAGTTAGTAATTCTCACCTTGTGAGACACCAGAGGACTCACACAGGAGAGAAATCCTTTGAAT